CTTATAAGAAAACATAAGTTGCCATGTGAAGGATTTCACGGAAGCATACTTGGTCGAAGTGACGATTTAAGAAGAGATGTATACTGCCAGAGTTTAGGCCCAGTACTAAAAGTCTTGCTTCCATATCTGCGAATCGGTTTCCGGGAAGAATTTATGAGCCTCTGAAAATTTCAAATAGTAGCAATACGTTTATCAACGTGAAACGATACTCTCTCAGCGTAGCGGCAGTTTGTGTAGCGGTAAGCATGCGGTTTGTTAGGCTGATTAGAGTTAGATTCCTCTTCAAACACTTTTCGCATTTTCTTAAAAATGTACGCCTTAATGAATGTTATGAATTGAATGAGGCATTTTTACCTAAATAATAGTTTTAAACCTTTAAAATGTGGGCATATTCAAAGACATTTCAAAGTAAATATTCTAAAAAATTTACTAAGCTATCTTTATCAACGATATGAGTGATTATTTCAACGCAATCTTAAACTTATAATTATCAGGATAGAACATGTTTTTTCAAGAGCACACGTGAACTCACGCAAACGAATATGACCTGAAACAATTATCAAGAAAACATTTGATAAGCCGGTTACCATAATTGGTTGACGTACCCGTCAAAGGAATTTGGTTCTTGCGACTTGTTACGCAAGCCAAACCTTAAGGAGCAAAATTCGATAGCTTTGCATCCATCTTGCGCGAAGCTTCTAATGATGCACTGGAAATCGAGTCCGAAGAAGATGATGTATTAGAAAATTTCGGAAAGGACCCGTCATGGTTAGGATGATGACGAGAGAGTAGTTCAAAAGGTGCGAAAGGAAGGTTATTTCGATTTGGAGATGTAGAAGACTCAAACGAGATGGTTTGTTTGACTTACCTCATTTCTTTGTTTGTTTTTGTTTCATTTGCTTTATACAGCTAGAAAAAACGATTTTCTTTTCGCTCAGCAGATAAAGGGAGTCGCCCTTTGTCATGCATGAGCAACATGTTCCGCTTTATTAAACCCCCCTATCATTTGTTCAAGTTAGAGATAAGAGCGTAAGACAAACTTTGAGGTAATATACTACTATATAAAGTGCAACAATCTAAGTGATATCCGTGCTGACCGTCTGATAAGATTACGAGTATCGACGGAAAGGTTAAGAGACGCTGTCAGTCAAAAGTTGAGTATGGGCAC